GAAATGAAAGTGGAAATCATTAGGGTAGTGTCAACACAGCCTGGGGAGGTGGGGGTCAGGGGTACACGGGCCGGTCACAGGGGTGCTGAGTGCATCGGACCCGCTGAGGGGATGGACAGAGAGGGGACCATTTTGCTTTTGTAACAGGCTAATCCTCAGGGGGCTGGGGTCAGGGGACAGAGCCTTGTGAACTTCCACCTTGTTGCCTTTATCCAGTTCCAGGCATCCCGGGTTTTGCCCTCACTCTTGCATCCCTCTGCCTGGAAACTTCCCGGAGGACACTCAGCCTACCTTGGGAGAGTCCCGGCTGTGCCATTCTGCCTCCCTTTCCTGTCTCTTCTATGTGCCTCTTCACCAGGCCTGTCCCCCCTCACACCTCCCAGCGCCTGACGATGGAGAGCTGAAGGCGCCTTCTGGGAGATGCTGTTCTCTGTGTGGGACGAGCCTCTGTCCCAAAGGCTCTGCTCTGCTCCCTCACTGTCGTCATTTGTCAGTTACGGGGCCCAAGGTTTTATAACAGCACGGTCTTAAAATGTTCTTTCTAAGTTTAATTTCTCTGCTTTTGGCCTTTTAAGGACATAAATTGGCCTTGAGCTGTAACCTCCTTTTGGCGTCGTCACGTGAGCCTCTCCATAAATCTGCTACACCCACCCCACCCACAGGTCTGGAGACGTGTCTGTTTTCTTTTCCCCTAAAATCTTAAAATATATTTTAAAGAAGTGAGTTCACTGCAGCTTACTCCTTTAAGTCTTACCTCTGGCCTCCCCCTTGGGTAGACTGTTTCTTACACAAATTTACTAGCTTTCCAAAAAGAGTTCTAGATCTCTATTTTTAAAGCATAAATCCTGTCTTAACTTTGGAGAACTGATTTGGCTGCACTTTTCTTAGTAGTCACGGGAACTTTTGGCCTAACGTCAGGTTTTCAGATTATTGAGAGAGAATTTGGGGGTCTCAGAGAGCACAGGGGCGGGAACTGGGTAGGGGTACCCGGTCAGCACTGACCCCTGCCAGCCGTGGCACCTCCTGCCAACCGCGTCACCTTGGGTGAGTCAGCCTGTGCCCTCACAGACTTCAGCTGCAGCGTACAAGTGGGTAAGCGCTAGGGAGGCGTTGATCCCGTTGCTAGCTAACAGTATTCCCGATACAGCAACTTTGTTGAGATAAACTTCCATGCCATATAATTTGCTCTTTCAAAGTGTACATTCGGTGGTTGTCAATAGACGGTAAGTTCTCATTTGATGTCGTTGGTCGGTTCTTGGAAACTGTGACTTTAAGCAAAGCTGTATATATCAAAACCAGTTTTTCCATAGGCTAATCAATATAAATAAGAATTAACTTCCTATGACAATTTCTGGTCACAAAAACATCACCACACTTCTGAGTAAAGGCCTGAAACACTTCTAATATTAAACAAAAATGCATTAATTTCCCAAGTGATTTATTCCAGTTCATGGTCATGGCTGGCTGGACCCTGTCCCAGCGGCTCAGGGCCCACAGCAGGGACCCACCTGGGCAGGGGCCCTGTTCTTGCGGGTTCTCCCCCAACACCCGCAGCTCACTGAGAGTGGGGCAGTTGAGATATGGCAGTGGACCTCAGGCACATTTTTGAAGTCTGAGAAGAAATTGGAGGACCCAGAGAAGACCGGTGCAGACATGCGGAGAACATGCAAGTTCCTGACAGACAGTGGCCTTGGGTTTTCCCCCTCATGTTATAAGGAAATTGTTACTCGAGGACCGGCTGTAGTCGCAGATTTGTGTTACCATCATTGCCACAGTTGATTTTAGACCATTTTACCACTCCAGAAGAAACCCTCCATGCCCCATCTCCTTCCCAGCACTAGGTAACTCCTAATTTGCTTTCTGTGTCTATAGATTGTATAATTGGCATTTCATATCAATGAAACACATGATACATGGTAATTTGCGATTAGGTTTTTTTTTTTTTTTTACCTAGCATAGTGTTTTAAAAGTCCATCCATGTTGTGGACGGTATCAGCATTTAATTCCTTTTCATGACTGAGTACTATTCCGATGCATGAATTTACCACGTTTTGTTTTCACATTTGTAAGTTGATTGATTTGGGGCTGCTTCCACTCTTTGGGGGTGTTACAAATATGACTGCCATGAGTGTTCTTGTAGAAGAACATTGTGTGGATAATTTTTTTTTCCCCTAAGGGTAAATACTTAAAAGAGGAATCACTGGGTTGGATGGTAATACTAACCTCTTCAGGAACCATCAGACTATTCCAAAGCAGCTGCACTATTGAACGTTCTAACCAGCAGTGTGAGGATTCCAGTTTTTCCACATCCTCGCCAGTATTGCTATTGTCTGTCTTTTTGATTAATGCCAACGTCGTGGGTGTGTAATAATTCCTTATCGTGGTTTGATTTGTATTTCTCTAGTGACTAATAATGTTGAACATCTTTTCACATCATTGGCCACTTATCATCTGTGTTTGGAGAAATGTCTGTTCAGATCTTTAACTTGTTTTATAATTAAGTTGTCTTCTTACATACACTATTTTTATTACTGTAAACATTCTTTGTATATATGGGATACGAGTTTCTATCAGATATATGATTAGCAGATATTTTCTCCCATTCTGTGAGTTGTCTTTTCATTTTCTTGATGGAATCCTTTGAAGTTCAAATTTTGATGAAGTCCAAACTGTTTTTCTTTCGTGATCCATGCTTTTGGTCACATTTAAGAAAACTTTGCCTAACCCAAGTCACAGAGGCTTATTGCTGTGCTTTCTTCTAAGAGCCTTATAATTTTAACTGTAATATTTTGAGGTTTTTTTCAGGTTATGAGAAAGGGATCCAGCTTCATTCATTTGCATGTAGACATTTAGTTGACATATCACCATCTATCGAATGTAAATGTCTTTTAAAAAAAAATTTAACTTGTTTAATCTTTATACCAAACCTTTGAAGTCGGTCCTGTTAATTCCCCCAGGGAGGAAAGGAAGCTGTACTAGCTTGCCTGGGCTCCATCGGGCTGCATGGCGAGGCCGAGACCATCCTGGACAGCTTGGCCCTGGAGGCTGTGCTTCTAACAAGCAATCAGCTCTTCATTTTCCTGCCTCCTTACCTGCCTGTCTGCTGACAGGAAAGAACTACCTCAGAGATAGTCAAGTAGTCCTGAAAAGAAAACATTTCATTTCTTACATGATGTGGTTATGCTGAACGCTTCTGCTTCCTTAATCTGTCTGAGGTTAGTGAGTGCAATTAGTCGAGCAGCGACTCACATAAATTCGGGGCCACAGTTTCAATTCCTTCGAGTCTGGCTGCTTTGGCTTTATCACCTCCCGACACCGAGGCGGTCCTGTTCGGCCTTGCTCACCAGAAAGATCATGTTGGGGAGGGCGACCATCACTGGTCCTGACACACCCTCAGACCACACGGTCCTCGCGGTGGCAAGCCAGGGCTGCTGTCCCCCTCAGCACCCTCAGACCAGGCCCTCGCACTTCCTGAAGGATGCTGCATTAGGCGCAGTAGACTCGTGGCTCAGACCTCAGCTCAGAACGTCACTTGGTGGGTTGCTGATCTGGCCTCACCGTGTCATCATTAGGGGTGCACGAGCTTAACCAGTTCAGCACTTTCTGGCTCATTAATCCATTGGCAAAACTGTCGTATGATAAAACATTATTAGCATAAAAAAAGGGAACTCGAGTACAAATACCTAGAGAAATAGAATTCTCTTCAGGCAAGTCTTCAGTGATGTCCATCTTTGACGAAGTGATTTTCTTTGGTCTCTGGGTAATTTTTTTGGCCTCTTGGTTTATTACACTCATTTACATCCCTGCTACTGTTTTCAGAGAAACCAGCCGCGTTCCAGTAGAGCAGCAGCCTGTGGTGAGGATTGAGTAACGCAGGGTGACTGAAGTTGTTCCACCCACTAGGCCGTGAATGCCACGAGGGCAGGGACTCTGGCTCCAGCCACCCCCCCCCCCCCGCCCCGTGGCTGAGACCCAGTGAGCTTCTGAGTGTGGGTGAGGAATCTGAGGGACACTTTGATGAGGCCAAATACTTAGTCTCGCCGCATTTTAACTAAGAAAGTTTCCAGTGACATTCTCGTGCTTGAAGCCGACAATCTGAGTCAATAAGGAACTTGGTGAGGAGAAGAGAGAGCTAAAAGCTCAACATCTGACCTGCAGAGGAACACACTGCAGGAAGCCAGGGCGCAGTCTGCTACGCTAGTTTCATTTTTCATAAAAGGGAAACATCTAGAGGAAGGAAGCAATGCTGTAAGCGTAGAGAGAGGACGTAGAGCATCTCACTTCATTAGTGATAACACCTCCTTGTTTTCAGGGTCTTTTTGTATTTCTGTTACTCCACGCGTGGCCTGGCACTCACACCAGCTGGGCACGCAGCTGAGGAGGTGGCATCAGCATCATTTCACAGACGAGGAAGCTGGTCCAGGCTGTACTTTGCCATGTGTTAAATATCTCGTAGGTGGTGAGGTTTGTGCTTGACTCATGTCCTCAGACTTTGCGTTTAGTGTTTTTCTTAGGCCTTCCACCCCCACCTACTTTGAGCAATGATCCCAAGAAAAAATACAAGAGGAGTTGCACTTTTTATTTGATTTAATTAGGTAACTTTTATCTGTTCTTCCCATTCTTTTGATAGGGAGTTAGGGAAAATCCAGTACCGTGTGTGTGTGTGTGTGTGTGTGTTAAAGAACCAGGGCATAGCTGTCCCAAGTAGACGCTTATCTTCATTGGAATTTTATTTCCTAAACCTCTTTGAAGTACGTGTGCGGCAGCTATGAAGGCACGTGGAGGCTGCCACTGGCATCGCGAGTCACTCTGGCTGTCTCGCCACGCATCCAGGCAGGAAATGGCACAAGACTGGGGGTTGTTTAGCTACAGGCCTGGGTGACCAGCTGTTGGCCGCTGAGCTGAACGAGGGGTCAGGTCTGTTTTCAGGACCGTGTCCTGAGGGAGCAGAGCAGGTCGTGTCTTCTGTGTGAGAAGTCATTGTTTTCTTTTCTTACCAGGTTTTGAAGGGAGCACCTGTGAGCGGAATATTGATGATTGCCCCAACCACAAGTGTCAGAATGGAGGGGTCTGTGTGGACGGCGTCAACACTTACAACTGCCGCTGCCCGCCTCAGTGGACAGGTAAGTGCCATGGGGCAAGTCAGCCAGGACGCGCCAGGGCCGGTGCCCCGAGGCAGCCGTTACTGACCAGGGCACTTGTCACAAATGCGCCGAGGACCGCTTGGGGACAGTGTGTGAAGGAAGCCAGGGTCTCCTCGCCGCCTGGCTGGTGACGTAATGCTCTGACTCCTATGTCAAAGAAAAAAGTATTTTTGCAGGTTTATATTCAGTGGTTCGGAGCATAGCTCTGTGCGGGGTGCTGGGAACATTTGAGAGAAAAGAGTCATTGATAGTCACTGGTGGGTATTGTCTGGGAAAGGCAAGTATCACCTGAAACACAGTAGATGCACAATAAAAATGCAGAGGGAAAAAAGTACTTAAATGAGAAAACACAAATGGTCTCTGTCACACACAGAATGGTAACTGAGGTGATAAATACATCACGTCATGTTAGTATGGCGTTCACGCAGTGTATACGTGCATCTCAGATCCTTGCAGTGTACACCTCACCTCACACAGGGTTCTACAACAGCCACTTCAGCAAAGCCAGAAAAAACAGGAATTGCAACTTGTCCATCTTCACTGAACTGCCAATAAATATTCAAAACTATATGAAAATGATGTTATAAAGCTGAAAATAAGTTATATAGGATGTGAGAGTTCAGCACTTGTTCACAGATAGAAATCCATCCCACCTCATCCACGTGTCCTGCAACCACACAAAGGATTGGACGGATACGCTTGGTAACATTATTTTTATGACATCCGGTTACACCTCTCTCTTTCCCCTTTTTCTGTCCCTCTTTTGGACCATAGAAAAAAAATTTTACGTGCTCCGACTTGATAGAAGGGCTCTCCTTTTTAATTTCATAGCCTCTTGGAAATTTCTGATGTTGTCTGAGGCAAAATTTTCATTTAATTTTGAAATTTTATGCAGCATTTGGTCCCAATTTCTGTACATAGCTATATTTATGTAGCTAACTGAAAGTGGAGGTGATTAAGAACGGGTTCAGTGATTAAGAATTGAGCCTTTCTGAGAGAAATTGAATGATTTAATGTGCAAACTCAAGAGGAAGCTAACGTCATGAGGGGGAACTTGCAGAATCAGCGGTGGACTGTGTCCAGGTGACACGGCTGATGTTGGAGGGCAGCCACTGCTACCTGGTATTCTTCAGAGACTCCAAATTGCTTTCCCTTATCTGTAGCAACTAATTATTTAGAGTACTCCCTGGAGCTCCACATTATGATTAGAAAAAGATTAAATGGAGTTTAAAACTTCAATTACATGATTTCCTGGAAGGGCACATATTTCTGCTTTTAATCCCCCAAATGTCCTTTTTAAGACTTTCTCACCAGTTTTCCTTAGAATTGGACTTCCCCTAGAATTTCTTCTCGGTGTCTCGGGCCTAGGACTTCACTCTCCGCTCTCGCCATCCGCTGCTCTCTGCTCTCCTGCTTTTGTCATTTCTCAGAGGCCATTTTGTTTTTAACTTAAAAAAATTACAGTGAAATTATGTGACAAGTAATATCGGGAAAGATTTGAATTTTTTCTTTTTAATGCTCCTTACAGTGCTGCTGGGCAGGGGGAGACGTTCTGGGAATTTGACCCTGTCCCGAGCTCTCCTGTGTCCTGGGAGAGGGCGGCTTTGTGCAGTGTTGAGGCCTCTGAATCCCTGGAGAGTAAACACTGTTGTGATTTCCTTGCTGATTCTTCTTTGATGTCACAGTTTCCTGCATTGATGTTAATTAGGAAGTTCCCTTCTTGGAGGAAATCTTCCTGAAAAGATGTTTTATAAGAATTTCTTACCCCAAGATGTTTAATAGCTACCTCTTCTCTGTGAAAATCCTTGTAAAATGTTTCTCCGTGTGATTTTGTGTTTTCTGGAAGGGATGGCGTAACAATGGGTCAGTTCAGTGGGAAGTGCCTTGCTTCTTTGGGTTGCTCTGACGTGCTCTGTCGTCTGATGTGCCCTCAGCCTTTGGGTTCCTGCCACCGGCTTCCTCCTCCTTGGTCACTCACGGCAGCTCTTTGGTCCAGTGGCAGCCTTGGCTTTTGCTCCCCCATCACTGGCAAGATGAGGGGCGAAGTCTTTCCTGTCTTCACCTCATCCCGTCTGCCTCTCCAGCCTTCTCATCCCCCCGCAGCCTTCCTGTTCCAGCAGTAGGAACAGCTTCCCAGTCTCCCGTATTCACCACGTCGTGCTTCCCACCCATTATCTCAACCCCGTTCCATTGACTTCCACACCGTTTTCTTTTTTCAAGGTTTATTTATTTATGCATACAAGAGCTGGGGTGTAGGCCAGAGGTGTGGGGGGTGAGAAGATTCACCAGAGACAGAGCAGGGATCAGAACAGACAGACTGACCAAGATACACTGCTGAGGGGAGCAGCAGGGAGATAGGAGAGGTCTGCCGCACCATGTGGGTAGCTCCCTAGCCGGGCAAGGATCGAACTTGTGCTGCAGAGGCTGGGGACAGCTTTATAGGTTGAGTCTTAATCCCTTGCGCCACCAGGGAAGCCCCCACATCATTTTGTTTTGATTTCTTCCCTCCACCCCTCTTCCTGTTGTCCTCACCATTGTCACCTGCCTGGCTCAGGCCAAGCTGTAGCCGACTGTAGAAGCCTTCCACGGTCCCCGTCCAGCTGAGATAAATGTTCTCTGGGCTCCTCTGGGACAGTGCTCGCCGGCATTGTTACCTGCTCCCTGTGCACGGGGGCGCCTGGGCGGCTGACGCCTGTTCGCAGGTGAGCTGTTCACGCTCCCAGGCCCGCCTGAATCTGAGAAGAAAGGAAAAAAAAATGTGAAGTCGCAGGGTTTATATTTCTGTTGCCATCTGAGTTAGAAATAGAGATTAATATTTTCTGCTCTCACAAATAAGAACAGTGAATGGTGCTGGGGGCTGGGAGTTAGCTAATGTTTATCAGCACCTCAATACTGTGCTCATTGCAGGGTCTTATTTTGTTAAAACTTTGTGATAATTGTGTTGGGGGAGAACTTATTAAAATACCCATTTTACGGGAGAGGACGGCTTTTCAGAAGGATAAAACACAAGATGGTTGGATTAGGGTTGGAATCTAGACTTGTTGAACTTGCTTGAATCTTGTTCTTTTTCCTATGCAAATTGAATCTGTGGGTGGTCTTTTTACTAGAATTTAAGTTCAGCAGATCAGTTAATTATTCTAGGACACAGTGATTCCTCTCTTGTGTTTTTTCCTTTTTGAACATTTGACTGGTTACTTTGAGGTTATAAGTTACTATTAAGTGAATGTTTTATATTCAGTCAGGTACTTTTTTCCACTATACCTAATACTTCTATTATTATTTGTTACAAATTCCCCTTACAGTGTTTGGCTGTGGAGTTAAAGTATGAACTGTTGGGTCTGGCTTGGAGCAGAAGGTATTAGAGTAGGCCGTGGAGAAGGAAATGAAGCTGCCAGCCACCTGAAAAAGAAAGGGTGGGATGATATAGCCAAAAAAACTAGGTGTCAATTTGAAGTGGATGATGACTTGAGAATATGCCATGTTTTAAATGAGAAGAGCAGTATTTTGTTAAGTGCACCCCATAGAAGACTTGGTCTTTTATAGGTAGGTCTGGGCTTCTGACCAGAAAATTTTCCAAGTCTATCCATGGTTTTATTTGGGGTAAATAACTTGGCTACCTTTTCTTTGGAAGGCTTTATTTGCTACCCATGGAATTATTATCTCAATTACTTTATTGGGTATCGGAAGAATAAATAGTGCAATAAAGAGCCTTTTGATCTTTTTTGCTTATTCAGCAAAATATCCCAGACCCATCCTGTTGAGTATTGTAATCAATAGCCACATCTTGGTATTGAATATCTGAAATGTGACCAGTCTAAGCTTCCAACTGTGAGCTACCTGATTTTGAACACTTAGTTTGGAAAAATCTGTATTACGTCATTAATAATATTTTAAATACTGGTTGGATGGTAAAGTGATGAAGTTTTGGATACATGGAGTTAAAGAAAATGTGATAGCAAGAGTACTTTCAACCAGTTTCTCTTGCCTGTTTTTGAGTGTCTACCAGGAAATTCAGAATTATATCTGTTCTCATGTGGTGTCCACAGCAGACATGAAAAGAGCTGCTTTCTACTCCAGCTCAGAGCCTTTTTACCTAGCAGGGCTGTCTGGAGTAGTGCCAGTTGAGCCTTCAGAAGCTTCCACTCTCTCGGACTAGCTGAAGGCCTGGAGGAAGAGAGAAAAGTCTGAATAGTTGGCTGTTCCGAGACTAACAGGACTCGAGAGAGCCAGACACGAATGTCTACCGCACGGGATCTGGCCCCCGCCGTCGTCTGAGAGGAGCTGGGCTCTGGCAGGCACCCCTTTAAGGAAAAGAAAGTGATTAAAGACTCCCAAATTCATTAAAGCAGCGTAGATTAATGTTTCGTCTACACAGGTTATTTGAATTTTTTTTTAAAGGTTCATTTCCCTCCAAATTAAGTTGCCTCTAAGCTCAACCCACAGATTGTCCTCTGGCAGCTTTTTGTTTTGGGTTCACGCATGGGGCAGACGTGATTTATTTTCCTGTACTTGCTATTAACCCAGAAATGTAATTTCAGCTTGGGTTTGCAGAATAGTGCTTTGGGACACTAAGTGAAAAAATGAACAGTGGAATTTAGGTGAATATGAATCAGAAGTGATCACATTTCCTCTCAGCTCTGTTGTAGCGTGATGAGCCCAAAGAATTAGTTAAGATTTCTTAGCTGTTAGGTGCTCCAATTTCAGTAAAATCTTTTGGCCTGGAGAGCAAGGACATATGGCCAGAGGGTGCAGGGCACGGGTACCTGGGGTGGCATTTTATGTTTGGACAAGGCGGCCCATCTCAGAACAGCCTCTGGTCAGTGACAAGCTGTCTCTGTGCTGGGTCTTCTCACACTTTTCGGTTTGGTTTTTTTTAAAGTCCTAGAGCGAAAGGAGCTTTCTGATTATATTTCAGGCTGCAAAGCTGTGCTCATTCGTATTTCACATAGGGAATTGGATGGGAAAATGCCTCTTCCTTT